TTGAATTGCTCCCAAGCATTTCCTCCTCCCTTGGTTCTTCATGTTATGTCTTAAATATGTCTCCAAGTTCTAAGCCAAATTTTGGTTTTGCTATATAGCCATATGGTTCAGAAGACCAAAGATTTATGTATTAAACTCCTCCAGACACATACAGCCAGTATGTATTTTAAGACTGCTTTTTGGGGGGGTTTACAAATTGAGGATTATTATCTGCCATGATGCCATTTCACAAGGAGGATGAAGAGAACGTTTCCCACAAGTCCTAAGCACCTCATAGAGTTTTTGACAGTAAATGTGAGTTGAAACATGCCAGATATCACATTTCAGGACTGGTGCTTTGACCATTAGCTCTTCTATTAAAAATAGCTTCCTCTTTAAGAACAAGCACTTTTTTTTTTTTTTTTTTTTTTTTTTTTTTTTTTTTTTTTACCATGCAAATAAAAATGTATAATTTGACTGTTAACATTCCTTCATTCTTCATTTTTTTAAAGGATTAAGTTACATGCTCAGGAGAGCATGGGACTCAGATCCAAGCTCATTGCTTCATAGACTGAACTAACTTATTCTAAGTGCAGACCAAAACACTTTGACCTTTGGCCAAAACACAGTGGTGTTTGAACGATCTTCTTTCACCTCATTCATCTAGAAATCACACCCATTAAAACAATTTTTGATCTCTCACAAAACCAGCAAGTTATAATATTTTCTTGCATTTCACAGAATTTCTGCATGAAATGGTACAATGTGAGCATTAACTCTTTTCTTGGCATTTAACTGGATACACTTTCACACACGCAAGCCTTCACATTATTTGAAGGTCAGATTTAAATGGAAAAGGCAAATGTGTAGCAAAAAGACTGTAGTAAGTCAGAGTCTCCTTCTGAACCATTATATCTTAAAAATATATAGTCAGTCTTGCCAAGACAAAATCTTCTTAGACACAAAATCTTCACGTGACTAGTGGGAAGGAGCTGCTACACTGGGTTGTTTAACTACAAATTAATTATGTGAATTTAATAGTCAAATATTCACTCAGGATGAAAAGAAATGTGTTCCTGGATATTAGTGTATAATGTGCAAATAATTTAATCTATCTGTCTTTTAATTAGACACCTATAAATAAGCTGGCTGTTGCAAGGTGCTCTGTAATCAGGTTACCTAAACACTAGTCCTTTCCTGAATCATCATTTGCAATTATGTGTGATAGCTACAGATTGTTAATTGCTACTGTTTCTTCTATTATTATTATTGTTGTTATTATTATCATCATCATCATCATCATTATCATCATCATCATCATTTAAGGATCAGGCAATATGCCCCATTGCAATTTTGCATACATGTCTGGGAAAAAAAAGTAGATGACACAAATCGCATGCATAATCTCAGGAGACAATAATTTTAAATCTTAATTGGCTGCCTTTTAAATATCATTTAAGGTCTCGTTTTCTCTGCCTCTCTCTCTCTAGTTAAGAAGGTGTTGTGTCAAAGTCTATTACCTTGCTGGACGTCTCGCCTCTAAGTTTTTTTAAAAAAATAGAACCATCAGCAGAGGTTTGAGAGGTCGATAAAGCTTTTAGATTTGGAGATGTTTTCAGGGAGCCCATTTCCTGCGGCTAAGAGTTGTTAATGGAGCTTAAGGAATTATCTTATGACTCGGGCTGGGAGAGCCGTATATTTCTTTGCTCCTGTTCCCTTGTCGAGGCTGAATATGCTCCTGTCAAACTCGCTTAATGAAAAGTAACGCGTCGCTGATTACAGTTTTATTTGGGCTCTATGTAAAAAGCACTGTTAATTTAGCATCCCCTCCTTTGTGTGTTTGAATTTGCCATGGCTGAATGATTTAGAGTCTCTCAGTTTCAAGACGTTTCTCTATGATTTTTTCCCCTCCTCCTTCTTTCTCAGTCTGCCTTTATATTTCTGCTTTGTACAGACATACGAGCTGCACGGCTTTCCCTTTCAGCCCTGCAGCTTCCTCTAAAGCAGCAGAACCTGATCTTTGACTTGTGCTATTGAATCAAGTGGCAAAATTAATTTCTCACACTCTTTTGTTCATATTAAAAAAAAAAAAAAAATCTAACCAACCAAACAACAGGAACCCCAACCCTTTTGAAAGACCTCTGCATTTCATGGCCTATCTAAGTCATAAGGTTTGTGTATTAAAGAAGGAAACTCTTTTCCCTCCCCCTTAACTGATACTGTCTCCTCTCAGGATGGGCAACGTTTTGGTGTGAGCACACACAGATTTTCCAGACCCGAGATACAGCCTGTTCCCTGGTCTGGAGAGCCCTGCTCTTGCTATACAGCAGCCATAAACTTACTCAAACTTGTTTTATAACAACAATAACACGAAAATGAAGGGATAAAGTGTTGGTCCGCTTTTCTTTTGGCTTCTGGTATTTCAGTGCCCCTGTGTTTTGCCCACAGTGTTATCACCCTCATTTTAAGTCCGGAGGAGGCAAGGAGCGAGGGAAGAGGGTGGGTGTTGCCTCCCAAACAACGGGATGTCCGAACTGAACCCTGGACCTAGCCAAAGCCGGCCAGCAATGACTTGTAAAATGACTTTTATGGCTTGCGGGGTCACCCGTCGAGAGCCAGCCCAGGGAGGCCAGGAGGGGCCGGCGCTCCTCAAAGTCAGGGAGCTTTTCAGGCTGAGAGAGATTTTTGGCTGCCCGGTGGACGAGACCTCTCCTTGCACGCAGACACACAGAATCCACACACACACTCGGCTGTCGCTGTGTTAGGAGAAAAAATTGAGTTCCCTTCCACTCCACAGAGCCTCTGTCGCATGGAAACCGAAGCCCACCGGGAGCCCCCGTGTCCCCACCAGTCCCTGCACATCCAGCAAGGCTGACACACACAAACCTCCCCGCTTTAACATCACCCTCGCAGCAGACTGAGGGGTTTCTGCCCCATCCCGCTTGACTCTACCAATGGTTTGAGGGCAGCCCGAACGCTAGCCTTCCTCCCCTTCCCTCTCCCTCGCCTCCTCCATCCCCGTCTCTTTAGTTTGGCTGAAAATAATTTGCTTTGTCTAAAGGGTTTCAGAGGCAAAGCTCGCCGGCCGCCCCGGCTGCATTAAAATTCCTGCCGGCCCAGCCTTTAGCTCAGATCGCGGCTCCCCCGAGACTCCACTTTCGCTATTACTGTCAAGTACCCTTGACTCTTTATTTTTGCCCTTTTATCTATTACAACTAATTCGAGTTCTTTTGCCCTTTTCAGTTTAAGACGTGGGCTTTCTGTAAAGCCTCCCCCTGCCACCGAGCTCTCCGGGTGCAGAGCCTTTAGAAATTGAGGGGTTTACTGTCAAAATGAAAATTTCACTTCAAATTATCTCGGCTGATGCACGTTTTCCAGGCCGGGGGCTCCTGTCTGAGCCTTTTGACAGCCAGATCAGCAGAGGGGTTCAGTGATCTCGATAATATCATCCAAGAGAGCGAAAGTCAATACAATGACAGGGAATATGACTGGATACAATCCAATTACGGCTGCTCGCAGAGAGGGGAAGGGCTTGATCTGATCTCCGCACCTGGATTCCTTTATTCAGTCCTTGCACTAACAGGTCTCGCTAGAAACTTCGCAGGCTGGAATGTGTTATATTTTGGCTGAGTGTTTTTTCGGTTGCGTTTATAGCTGCCTTTGTATATTTCCCCCCTTTATCGTATTCTTATTTATTTATTGTGAAGAGGGCTGGACCGACGGGGAGCCGCTGGAGTGGGATGGGCGAGTATGCTGGGAGGCAAGGAAGGCTCTTCTTGTGCCGATGTCAGTTTGGTCCTTCGGGTGCTCTCGGTTTTTCCGCGCCGCGCCGGGCGCCGAGGCTCAAGGGTGTTAGGCCAGCCCGGGTAAGCCGGGATCTATTATTGCCTCGCAGTTTCTTATCCAGCAGTTCTCCCTGTCTCCCGGTCCGGGGATCAGTAAAGTTTGTTCTCATTCCGGGGAAGGAAATGAAATCTTTTAAGCGCCTGTTATCTAAGTGGTAAATTGGCTGCGAGTGCTCCTGAATCACACGTCGAGAGCGCTCTTCCTCCCTCTCTCTTTTTGTTGGCTGCACTCTATTTAATGTCAAAACGGTAAAGCATCTGTACTGAAGTGCTGAAATATTCATGGCGGATCAGCGATTCTCCGCACTGGCAGAGGAGCTGGAAAGCTAAAACGGTTCTTTAAAAGATCAAATTTTCCATGTGAATCAATTGCTCCGCGCACGGCGGAGGCGACGCCGCAGCAGAGACCGGCCCTTGGGGGCCGACCCCCGCCCGGCCGCAGCTCGGGAAGGAGGGGAGGGGGAAGAGAGGGATGCTCCCGCCCCGCCGGGCCTGGCGGGCGGCTGGAGCCCCCGCTGTCGGCCCGGGAGGCGGCCGGGGCCCTTCGCTGCCCGCGGAGGCACGGCCGGCTCGGAGCGCAGCCAGCATCCCTCCTGCGCGCAGCGCGCCTCCCGGGCTCCGTCCTCAGTCCCGCGGCAGCGCCGCTCTGAGCCTCTCTTCCCCTCTCCCGGCAGCCTGTTGACAGTCCTTGGAATTACCAGGATCGGCTCCGAGGGGGAATTTGAAACATAGAAGTTGTTTGTTGCCCAATGCAAAACGCTACCACTTGTGTTACCTCTGAAACAGACAATTTATTGGAGTGAGCATACCCTTTAACATTTTTTTTGTCAAGATAAATTTGTGCAGTAGGTGTAAACTTAGTAGAAGTGCTGTTTGTGAATTATATGCTAACAAGGAAATCAGGAGGAAAAACTCTCGAAAAGTCTTTACAACTAATGTCGGCATGCCTTAAATTAAATCTGAATTAAAATTTCCCGTTTGTAAACTTTCGGATGTAAACTTTTTAAGTAGGTCTACACTATAGTACGTGCTTTTTGGACATGGAATTAAATAACTTTCACGACACTGATCCCTTAAAGTCGCAGCCAGGAGAAAATGTTCAGAACAGCAATGAGCAAAGTCTTTCCGTTGAACTGAGCAAACTGAACTTGAAATCCTCGTTTATGTTGTTTGTTTAAAAAAAAAAAAAAGGAAGAAAAAGTTTTATATTTAAATTTAAACTCTTGCAAGTCTCTTTTCAGTGTAGCTGACTCTTCAAGCGTTAGAAAGTCCTTCGCCCCTCGGCGGGCCTGTTAGGAACAAAACATTTTGCTTCCTGATTTGGGGAACGCCAGAAACTCTTTGTTTGAGTCATGGTGGGCCAGGTTTGAGAGCTGCCCCTTGAGCACATTGGCGCCGTTCCCCACCGCGCGTCCCAAGGCGCCCGTTTCCAGAATGGCTCCTTTGGTGGTAGCCCAGGAAACTGTTGTGTTGCTCAGGGCTTGGTTTAAAGTACTGTGCCTGAACAGGGGGTCGTGAAACACCCCGTCCACCCAGTTCCTGAGGTTGGTGACCGGCGAGTCCTGGTGCCTGTCCATGACGCTGACCGGGGCGGGAGCGGCGGCGGCGGCCGAGCCCCCCGGCCGTTTCAGCATGCAGGAGGGGTACTCGGCCTGGTTGAGGGAGGTGGCGGTGTGCGCCAGGGACCAAATCCTGGGCTTCGCCTCCAGCAGCTGCTGCCCCTGCTGGAAGCACATCTTGGACTCGCAGCCGCGCTGCCGAGCGCCCAGCGGGTCGGGGCCGCACTCCTCCGCCGCCGTCTTCAGGCAGCTCCGCGCCCGCTCTGCCGCCGCCTCCTCCTCCTCCTCCTCCTCCCCGGCGGCAGCCGGCGGCGGCATCTTGGCGGGGAGCTCGGCGGCCCGCGGCGGGTGGCTGCCGCCCGGGAGCGGGAGCGGGTGCGGATGCGGATGCGGGAGCGGGTGTGGGAAGGGCCGCCTCAGCTCGCACTCCGAGCTCTCCGACTCGGCGGCGTCCAAGTCCTCCAGGTCGCTGAGCTCCAGTTCCTTCTCCTCCTTGCCCGTGGGTTCTGCGGGGCGGGGGCGGGGGAAGGGACAGCAAAAACAAGACACACGGTCACTGTCGGCGCCGCACTGCCCCGCGGCCGCCCCCACCAGCGAGGCCCGCGGCCGCCCCCACCAGCGAGGCCCGCCCCGGGGGCGAGCTGCCGGCCGAGCCCCCGCGGCCGCACCGCTAAGTGCCTGGTTTTAGCAGGGTACCCTCGGCTTTCCCGCTCTTCATGGCCTCTTCCTGCGAACCCTCCTCCTCCTCCTCCTCCTCTTCCTCATAGGGCCGCTTCTCGTCAGAGCACTTGTTCCGCGGGGGCCAGGTCATCTTGTTCTCCTTCTTGAGCCGCCGGCGGGCGTTGGCGAACCAGGTGGAGACCTGGGTGAGGGTCATCTTGGTGATGATGGCCAGCATGATCTTCTCGCCCTTGGTGGGGTAGGGGTTCTTGCGGTGCTCCTGCAGCCAGGCCTTCAACGTGCTGGTCGTCTCTCGGGTGGCGTTTTTCCTTCGCGTCCCGCCGTCCATCGTCCCGTACCTGCAGGCACAGGGATGTGACAGCTCGCCCTCGCCCCCGCGCACCTGCCCGACGCGGGGTCCCAGAGCCCCGGCCCCGGCCGCTTGCCTGCGGCACCCCCAGGAAGGCAGCTGGACCGGAGAGGGGGGAGATGGATGAGGACAGCTCGGTTTTAAGAGGGATGAGGACAGCTCAGCTTTATGAGGGAGACCAGGCTAGAGAATTCAGGCCGAGGAAGGACAGCAAGAAGGAAGGGTTCAGCCAGCAGCTGCAGCGGGCAATGCAAATTTCTGCTCTGCCTTGGCAGTGGTGGTGGAAAGAGGGAAGGAATCGTCTGCTTTTATTTGCGGTAAAGTCAATGTCAACATTTCGGGCAGCAGGAAAATCCTAGCGGCTTGCAAACTCACAGAAATACCACTTTCCTCTCGTTTTTTATTAGTCCTCCCCAAACAAAAATCATCTGGGTGACCCCAGGGTGTAAGTGTTAATAGAAATATATTTCTTCTTACTCCTTTTATTAGTAATCTCCTTTACCCTTTTGTTCCTGAAATTGTAGGAACCTAACGCAGATGACACTGGGCTGCGACTGAATATTTAATGCACATCCTCCAGGAAAGGTCACTGGCGCCCAATGGGCCTCTGAGCTGGGAGCGGTGCGTAAGGGGGTTTGCGCTGGTCTAAAACTAATAAATATACACGGGATGCCCAAGCCTGACTCCGCGCAGGGAAAGATAATTACCGCCCCGGTTAAGAGGGATTGCCTCCCTCGCTACCGCCCGCCCGGGGGGCGGAGGACCCCGTGTCGGTGTGGGAAAGGGGAGGCGACACGGCTGGGGCCGGGAGATGCCGAGAGGCGAGGAGGCAGGCTGGCGGGGCGGGGCGGGGATGGCGGGGAGCCCCCGCCCGGCCCCCGCCCGGCCCCCGCAGCTCCCCGCTCGGCTCCCGCCCGGCACCGCCGCCCGGCTCCCCGCCCCGCGCCCGGAGCGGCGCGACCGACCTTCCCGGGGGCCCCTCGGCCGCGGCATCAATAGGGACACTAACTCGCGCTGTTACGGTGCAGGGGGAAAAAAAAGGAAAAAAAAAAAAAAAAAAAAAAAAGAGGAAAAAAAAAAAAAAAAAAAGAAAGAAAGGCTGTGTGGGAAGACCGCATCATTTTTTTGCAAGCCTGGGTCTGGGTCGCTCTAAACTGCCCGCCCGGACGGGCTCTCCGCGCTCGGCCGCCGGCTTGTCAGGCGCGACTTTTAATTGCGTTACCGTGAGGAGCGAGCGGCGGGCTGGAGCAGCTGCTGACCGCGGGGCTGGGCACGGCGGGGCGGAGGAGAAGCGCCCGGGGCTGCCCCCGCCCGGGGAGGGGGTCCCGCCGAGCGGCCTCCGCCCGCGGGGGCACGGGGGGAGAGCGGGGCCGGTGGGAGGGAGGGAGGGAGGGAGCGAGCATCCCCCGGGGCGGCTTACCAGGGAGTAGAAGGCGGGAGCCTCGGTACCGTAGGTCACGTAGTTTCCATAGCCCTGGGGCCCGGCGTAGGGCCCGCCGTAGACCCCCAGGGCGGCGGCGGAGTTGAGCTCGTGTCGGGCGGTGGCGAGCAGGCGGCTCTCGTACACCGGGCAGTACACGGGGGTCTGGGCGGAGGCGGCCGCCCCCGTCTCAGCCAGCGTCCGGCTGCTGGACTCGCAGCAGGTCGTCAGCGAGTTGGTGCTCATCAGGAACTGGAGGGAAAGAGAGCGGCGCTGAGGGCGGGGTGGGGAGAACTTCCCAAAGTGTAACCAAGTTTGGGTTCGGTTGCTTTTAGATTGTGTGGGTTTGGTGGGTTTTTGCTTGGGTTTTGTGATTTTTTTTTTTTTTTTTTTTTCCCCCCAGATCAGGTCGTAGCTTTGGGATGTCGCCCGTCCTTCTGCCTCCCCTGCTCCCCTGCCGTATTTTATTTCAATCGTGATAGAAACGCTCTGGACAAGGGCAGAGGTGCAAGTATTTTATCAGTTTTTTTAGAACGACTCCACAACAACAACAACCAAACGCCCCGTGACTGTGGATGTTTAATCCTCTATAATACATTCCTCAGGCCCTCTGCATTTAAAAGCTAACTTCTCCTGGGGTGTTTCCACAAGACTGGGGTTTACACCGTTTTCTCCTCTTGCAGCACAATGATTCCCATCTGCGTTTTTAAACCCTTTTTTTCGAAGTCATTCATGCATATTTATTTTGACTGCAGATTTGTAGCAGCCACGCACGCATCTGTTATTAACCTGCTGGTTTTGAATATCCCATTCTGTTTCTACGGGTCGGACCTCTGTACATCCATGTTTAATTGATAATCGTGAATTTAATCGTGAAAGAGAAAAAAAAAAGGAGGGGGTGCGGGTGGGGGTTGGGTATCTCTAGCTCCCCTTCTCACCTCTCTCATCTCTGTAATCATCTCCCACGAGTCTTTATCACCCCCAAACATCCTGAATCCCGCGTGTTTCATCCCATTTTAAAACTGATGCCCGACACAGAACTTGGGCATCTTGTAAAGCTGTGGAGCGAGCATCTGCTTTGCCGCCACCGCATGCGGGAGAGGATCGCTGCCGCCCTCATCCCGGACGGAAGGCATCGATAAGGATTGAAATTCAATCAATTAATGTTGGTAGGCAAAAAGTCTTACCTGGGGTGCAGAGGAGTAAGGGTAGCCAAACTGAGGATAGGACATGGTACAGAGGCTCCCAGTTATCTAGAAACAAGGCGAGGCGTCTGATCTGCACGCTATTGCAGCCTGGCTCTGCTCTGTTGTACCAATTGATTGGTAACCACAGGTCCCTAGATGCTTATAGGACGAAGCAGAAAACCACATTTAATTTATTTACATGAAAACTTAAACTTTTTTTTTTTTTTTTTTTAAATATGTACGGCGATTTTAGCACCTTCCCCGCTACGGCTACGACACAGAAATAATTGTTACATGTAGGCTCTCAGGCTGGCAGACGTGACGGCAAAAATAAATACTTTGCACCCACGGAAAAACAAAAGGTGGGAAGAAGAAAAGTGACACAAATGCATCAGCTCACAAGCACATTGTTTTAAAAGAGACGAGCCTCTGACGTCACGCAAAACCTACTCAAATTAACCTGCCTGTAAGTTTAACACTCATTTTCGGGAATCTTTCCCCTGGCATGGAAAATAGACTCTTCAGCATCGCCTTTAGCCTGCCTAACAGGAGAGAAAAGTTTGGGAAGCTCTTCGGTAGCGGCAACGCCTGCTTGCAACACATCTATTTCTGCGGGCAAGGGAAGGAAATGAATGTTTTTAATCTGAAGGATCAATGTTGTATCAGCTATTTTCCCCACCCTCCTTAGTCATTGAAAGGCTAGTAAGCACTTTTAATTAGAAATTAATTAATGAGCAGCTGCTTCTTCCCACCCCACAGTAATAATTAGTCTCAATTACAAACAAGACATATGAAGGGACACACGACTGAGTCTTCATTTAAGATTTAATCAACAGTTAAAATTAGCGCTAACGCTGACAATAAAGCACATGATAAGCAATCCTCCTTTTCTTTTCGGCTTTTATTCCAGGCGTGTGATTACAGGTAGAAAACCCTACAAGCGTCTTCCGGGGAATGATGGAAAAGATGCGACTTTCCACGTTAAAAAGACTTTGATCCCATCTCTAACTTCCAACACCCGCTTCTACCCGACCCATCCCACCGCTGCCATCAGCCTCCCTACCCTCTGGGGGTCTGGGACACCCCCAGACACGAGCAGGCAGCAATCCCCCCCTGCTGCACGCTCGGAGGGGACGGGCCGTGGGGGGAAGATGCTGGCAGCCCCAGCACCTCTCCCCCGGCGGCCGAGGCAGGGCAAGCAGGCAGCCCCCGGCTGGACGGAGGAAGCGGAGGAGTCAGCTCCGAGGCTGAAGCTGGGCTGCTGGTGCAGTCGAACGCTGCTCCATGGTGTGCAGACTTGCTCAGAGAGATTCCTGGGTTCAGACATGTGAATAGCCCCAGGGTCACACTCTAATTAATGATGATATTCTCTTCTTCTCCCCAGCTGGAAGACTGCCTCCCAGAAACGAATCTGCCCACACTGACAGCTCGATTGAGGGTGATTGATGACTATCTGGAGACCACAGTACACATAATATAATATCTGCTGCGTAATTGCTTTAATTTACAGATGAAAATACTAGTCCTCAGATCGAGTTAGACTACAACGAGAGGCGTTTTATGGCGCTTTAGAGTGTTTGCAAATAAAAGATATCAGATACAGTACATGCAAATTATCCTGACAGCTCAGTATCTGTAGCCGGGAGAAACGTATAAAGAAAGGGAATCAAATGACATAAATAATCGGTTTGGAATTCTGTATTGATTTTTGGATGGGAAGAAAGAGCTTTTTCTTTCCTCACCTGAAATGTTAATTCCTTTTTATTTCTGAGAATATTAATAACTTTGCCATTGGGTTTCTTTTATAGAAGAGCTCCTCTATTCCTCCTCCTGCACTATACCCCCGTGCTACCAAGGTATAATAATACTTTTAGCCACTCTTTACCAGCAGCTTCCTTCTGTGCGGAGTGCTGACGGACTATTGCATTGTTTGGGAAGAAAAGACACCCAGTGTTTACACAATGGTCTGCACGCAGTGTTCCGTGCTGCTCCCTCTGCCTCCTGTGCTCATTGCGCTGGGGGATGTTTGTTTAAGCTCCGGAATAAAACTCACCGGTGCTAGGGAAGAAAATAGTTGCACTTATCTCAAGAGCGGCTCGGTGTAAAGCACTATAATTAGCTGGGAGTGCTGGAGAACTGCCTGAAGAAGTCCTCCCAGTTTTCCAGGCTACAGTTTGGGAAATGTTCTGGAGTTGTGGGTTTTTTGGTGTTCTTAGTTTTTATTTATTTATTTTTTTTCCACTGCAGATGTCAACTCCGCAGTGGCCCACTGTAGTGCACTACAGGTTTTGATATTTAGATGAGTCTATTAAACATTAAAATACAAGGAGAAATTCAATATTTATAGTCCTTGTCTATTTATATATCACAGTTGTCTTTCACTGCACCATGCAAATACTCTGGTGCCCATTTTTGCGCTGAACTTTCCTGTATTAATCATGATAATTATTTGTCATTTTTCTTTGCAGCCTGCCTGCTCTATTACTTTGCCCCTGATCAGCTTTGTGTCAGTTCCAATCTGTATTCCCTAGAAAGCAGTCATTAAAAAACCCCCACCAAAATAAACAAACAAACAGAAAGAAAAAGCGACAAAAAACTTAATAACCTTAAATGCTGAAAGCTGACATTACGTCCTCCCCCACTGCTGATGTCTTCTTTCACTTACAGTCTACAAATAATGGCCCTTTGTTGATAAGAAACTCAACACAATTATATTTCATCTTGAATTTTTGGTGCCAGAGCACAAACATGCATTAAGCCCCACAATGATTTAAAATAACCTTTGTGGTTCTTGCACATAAACAAGGTAACACTGTTCAAATCCAAGCAAAGACGCTTAATGCTGTGGGCTATATCCTTAAGCATTTGGAAAATGCAAGTCTTTGCTGTGCAATAAAAATTGATCCTCGTCAAAGCCCCTTTCCTGTACAATGCAGTTAACAGCTTTTGAGAAAGAAACACACACAGCTTTCTCCAAAGTTTGAGCAGTGAAACCCATCACGATCAATAGGAAACGCTGGAGAGTTCCCTTCTGGTCAGAACCAGCCTGCACACTCAGGCAAGAAGGTATTTCCCATCCAAAGCCCATCCAGGTCTCTCTCCCACGGTTATGAGCTTTTCCTCTGAGTACCTGGAGCCAATGCTCATACAAGTTTTAGTGTAAAAACATGGAATGAGAATGAAAGAGTGTGATGCTGCAACAGGCCACAGCAGGTAAAACAGAATCTCTTCAGGACTCAGACTTTGATGGACGTCTTCAGGGACATGATCTAGAGGCAGTTAATGCAGCTACACTTACTATCTACATTTTCATCGCCTTCTCTTTTGGAGGGGTTATTGCCACTCCTGGAAATATTTCAGCAACGGAATTTGCTTATGGGCTAAACAGACTTTAGCGAGCTCTTTCAGTCGAGTTTGCTTTGTTTTCATGTTACAGACTTAAAGCAACATTGACACCGTCTGATAAATGCTGATAAAAGATCTACGTGTTGCCCACTTGGAATCTGACATGGAACCGTGGGCAGCCTACAACATTTTTAAGTAGGTTAGCTCCCCTAAACTTGCTATTGGCAGTAAATATGATTGGTTTTTTTCCCTGAGCCAAATTGAGGTGTAACTGCACCTCCTGCACTCTGAATCAAGGGACAGCAAGACTATGCTTCCGACCTGCACAAACCCTTGCCATGGCTTGGGATTGGCAGAGCCATGATGACCAACAGAACTGTTGCATAAGAAGGCACTGCTAATTAATTTACTCAGTTTACAACTACATGTAAAATCAGTTTGTTCAAAGCTATCCATCTGAATGCTTTCATTTTGTAAGTCTTCAATCCTCTTGGCAAACAATCTAGATTAAAGCAGAAAGGCCTCACATGCTCATTCTTTGTATTTATTAACTTTTCACACTTAAGAACTAGAGCCAGCTTTCTCATTCTCTCTTTCTCTCTTACATGCACACCTACACACACACACACACACACACACAAAACACAGGCACACACAAAACACAAACACCAAACTTTTCAGTGAGAGAAGTAAGTGCTGCGACCTGGGCAGCTGCTCTATGGCTATAGATGGACCCTACAACCAGTCCACATTTACCTGCTCGGTGCACAGCATTGCAACTATGCCTTCACTAGCAAAGCAAAAATTGTATAAGACTTCCATTCTCAGCTCCTGTACCCCCAGTGCTGCAGATCTGCAGGCATTTAGACACCACCACCTTGGAGCTCTCTGGCAGCCAACAGCTTCAACTTACTTCCCTGCGAAGGTAAAACTTTCCTGCTTGCAAGGTCAAATTCTGTTTTTTAAAGTTCGCTTTAAAATCCAGAAAGTTTGACTCAGTACCTTACCTTAGTGCTCGCTGAATACCATATCCACACCCCCTTCCCAAGAAATAACACACGTATGTTAAAATACATTTACCCTCTGTCCTAGGTAAAGATTGCACAAAGCCAAATGATTCATCACGGATAGTTTCTCTTCCCTCCAGCAGTTCGGTTTCAGCTGCCTTGCTGCTAAAGCAGGCTCCGAAGGAGAAGGGGGGCGCGGGGGGGGGGGGGGGGGGTAAGCCCCACCGCTCCCCTCCACCCCCCGCTTCCATAGAGACACAAACACACACACACACACACACATACACACTCTCACAGGCACCACCACCAAAGGAAGAAATTTTTTACCTGCGATCACGCCAGACTTCGGCTAAAACCTGGTAGCGATGGCTGTGCCATGGCAGGGCTTCTCTCCTCTGGTGTGCGCTGGCTGGCGTGGCAGGGAGCTGCGGGGAGCTAACGCAGACATGTCTCAGTGCGCGCTACCTGCGCGGCGCGGCACGGAGCCTTCGGTCCCCAGGCGCCACAGCCACTTCACTAACCCCCTGCACCAGAGTGACGCTCAAGTGAATAGTTCCACTGATCACACTCTTTCCTACTGATTAACACTTTCCAACACGACCAGGCATTCCACTTCCAACTTTTCCCGTTTTAAAACAGAAGCAGCCAGCGCCGCTTGCTTCCGCGGGTTATAAACGCCGTCTGGGGCGTGGGGGACACCATAATTAATAGCAGGTTAGTAAAATTAGTGCTGCCACTCCAATTGTTGTCCTTGTTGCCAACAATAATTGCATTGATTCTGGAAGGACACGAATGTCCTCCATTTAACCTAATGATCTGCGGGTTGCACACGCTGTACGGCAGCCGTGGCGGTGATTAACTGCGCGCACCTCCAAACTATCATTTATCTCCGCGAGTCACGACTGAAAGGCGCTAAACTTACAGGCAACTCTCCCTGCCTCTCTCGCCGTCTTTGTTTCCCTCCCGCTGCAGGAGGCGGGCTGGGACGTCGGCGTAGCCCTGCGCACAGGAGACGGGCACCTGTACCTGTCCCCCCGGCCGCCTCGGCTTTATTCATAGCCCGGGGGCAGCGCGGCGGAGCCGGGCGCCGCGGAGCTGCCGGGGACTGCCTGGGCCAGCGCCCCCGGCCGCGGGGAGGGGGCAAGGGGGGGAGGCGCGGCAGCGCCCGGCACCGGGGACCCGCTCCCTGCAGCGCCCCCGAGGCGGGCTGCGCCGTGGCTGCCCGCCCTGGGCGCAGCCCCACAGACGCTGCCCGGGCACCGGGGGCTTCCTCCGGGCGGAGCTGGGGGGCAGCCGAGCGGGGAGCGGATACAGGTGCCGGCGGCAGCCGAAAGCAGGTCGGGGCAGGAGCGCTGGTTCCCGCTTGTCCTCTCCGTTCTCCTGCGCCCGTCCCTGCGTCCGGCCGTCCGTCCCGCCCGGCCTCAGCCGCAGGCTGCCGCCGCCACTGCCGCTCTCTCCTGAGGAGAAGTTACACGGGCCCGAGGCTGGGCGAACGGGCGGCGAGGTCCCAGTCCGAAATGCCTTTCCCGGTGCGCAGCCTCCCTCCACCCTCGGTCAGCCCCGGGTGCCCAGGGCTACTTCGGGTTCCGGGCCGGTGTCCAGGACCGCGCAGCGCCCGGGATCCCCGCGGGAGCCTGTGCATGACAAGTTCCACCGCGCGCTCGGTACTTTCTTTTCTTAATTGTTTGTTCAGCAGGAAAAGGGACAAATCGGGATTGACAGAAGGGGGAGGAGGGATCAATATCATTCCTGTTTAAAGGCGTGAGCCTGGGCAGACGTCTCAATAAGACAGAGGAGGAGAAAAAGAGAGTATTATATCCTACCTAATTAAGCGAAGACAAAGAGGTGTGGGGAGAAAGGTTCAGCAGAGGTGGGGTGGCAATAGGAATTTTTAATCCGGTGTCTTCCCACAGTAACCACCAAGGCTGAACAGTAACGTTAATAGGGAACATCTGTACATCGACAGATTTATTCTTGCCAGGGCTCTTTCACGCCTGTGTCATTTGCATGGCCCCGTGCTCGTAATGTTCGACACACGCTGCACCTTGTAGTGCAATGACAAGGTAAATCTGATGAATGCTGAAACTGGGAAATCCTCTTCTCTTTCCTCTTTCTCCCTCCTCAGATTGCCCTTGCAGCTTTCAGTGCGGGGAAACCACTCGGAGAAAGAAAACGCGAGCCTTCTCCCCATCTGCACTTGTAAACAGAAAGCCAATCATGCCACGATCCTTTGCATTTTAAAGCGGAGTAACAAACCCACAGCGACGTGGATGCCCTGCTTGCCCGCCCAGGCTCCCTCCCCGCCGGCGGGACGAGGGCTCTGCCATGCCCCCGGGAGTGCAGGAGGCGTGTGTGCCTCCCCCTCCCGGCCCTGCGGGTCTGGACTTTTCCTCCCGTCCCCCGGGGGACCTGTCCCTCTGCCCTACCCCAGGCTCCCGCTCCGGGCTCTGAGCCAGGCCGACTTCCCCGGGGCAGCGCCCTGCCCTTGCAGGGGGAGCCCCGCCGCTCCCGGGACCCCGTCCAGCCGCCGGCCGGCCCGGCCGAGCCCGTGTTTTACAGAGCGGGGTGGCACCCTCCGCCGCCGGGAGGTGACACCTGCCCTTCGGCCCTAACGAGCTTTGAGGGCACCGGGACCTCTCGGTGTGGCCTCCAAACCTTTCCCCGTCCCGGCGCCGGGTGCTCGGCCAGAGGCCGCCCCCGCTTTTCCCGACGGCAGAGTTACAGCGGGGGGAACTCCGGTGGTGAGGCGCTGGGGGGCTGCTGGATTCAGCTGCCTCCCTGCCCTGAAATATGGTGTTCAAGGGCAGGAGACATCGTTCAAAGAATAATCTTTTATATTAACAGCTACAACCAGTAACAGTACATTAATATGAGTCTTTTGTAATGTAACAACCTCAGGTCCACGAGATCAACATTTTTAATTATTTCAGTGATGCTTAAAGGAAGTGAGCAGACTCGAGTCTGTCTTTTCCAATTTGCTCATGTCGACCTGCACATCTTGGAAATTGCCATCCATTGCCGCTCTGACCTATGTAGCAGAAAGCACGGTGGCTTTCTGTCAAAAACTGGTATAGCCAAGTAGTAGGGCAACCAGACTAAGTGGAGCTGGAATCCCAATAGACATGCAGGCAGGTCAACCATGGTGACATCATGGACACTGAGGGAACACTGGCCACTGATAAATCTGGGAAGATGCTTGCAACAAGAGCAAAAGCTTTTGGGCAGCACTCCCAAAAAAACACAGGCCAGAATCTGAGGCCAGAAGGGCATTTGTAGATCTTGCTTTATGCTGTTCATAATGTTAGGTTGTCTTTCTCCTTTTTCACTTTTGTTTAAATGGCCAATAATGCTAAGGTTTCAACCATTTTTAATGTTTTAACTATTAATAGGTGCTCTTTTCACTGTAGAAGTGCCGTTGGTCCTGTCTACCCTGGCATTCTTTGGCATTCTTTCCCATTTCTGTAGCTAGACCAATGCCCTCTCTGCTGTGAAAAGGCCATTATTAAATGATACCGAGTGGTCATAACCCTTAATTTTCCATGTCATTAGACAAACAGCACTGGTGATAGCACCACATATTTCCATTCAGAAAGGGAATATAATTTCATTTTCAGTGTCAATTCCTTTGGCACTCTGGCTGTATTTTGAAGACCTACTTTCTAAGATACCAGATGGGAGAAAACAGCAGCTTGATCTCTTACTTTTTTGGCCTTTATTTTCCTGTAGAGGTTACTAAATCACACCTAGTCAAGGAATAATATACTAATGCATGTATCATAACTCATGTTCACTATGAAGGTCCTAGAAACACATTAGCTTAATCATGAAACCTCTGAGATAATTTACTTAACTGGAATAATTTCACAGGAAAGCCAATATAATTCAGGATATAGTAAATACATGGATAGAAATCAGATTTTCACTCAAACTATTTTTGTCCTCATCTGGTTATATGGTGCCAAGTTATGTGGTAGCCTCAGAGCAGCAAGGTTTGTCTTAATTTGCAGGGATCCATACAGGTACATTTCTTTTCCTTTTCTCACATTAAATTCATTATGTGATGTTCAAAAGACTGATGCACACTAGAAAACCTTTAGGCATTTCTGTGTAACGGCGATGGTTTATTAAAAGGATAGGTTATTACTTTGAACAATGACTTCAGTGCGTATGTTAAAATGTGAAATGTTTATGGTACTGGCCTGTTTTGGCCAGAATCTGTACAACTAGACTTTTATTCATAAATGCATGCCTTAGCTAATAAACCACATTTATTTTCAGATCCTGTGTGGTCATCTGAGCATCTTTTGTAGTCCACAAAGATGTAGGTTCTCAATTATGTTTTAAAGAATTTTGTAAGCAAGTATTACCATAATTCCATTTGTGAGCCCATGATTTTGAAAAGATATTTATTTTGTGTTTGAAAAAAAATTTTGATGTGCTTAGAGAAGTAGCTAAGGCTGTCTTATGTGCTCAATATGTGGATGGGTAGAGAGGATTATTTTTTAGTAGGAAAAGAGCATAATTTCATAGACTTAGAAGCAGAACCCAGCCTCTTGGAAGATGCTGAAAAGGCAGAAGACACCAAGGGAGTCAATGGCACCAAGTTCTCCTTTGCTGCAGACTTTGGCCAGGTGAGCCATGCTGCTGAGGTGGAGCTCCAGGGAAGTAACACAGCAATAATCTACTTCCTCCGTGTTTCACAAGAGAAGAGACGTGGGCCGGGGGTGTAACCCCACGGATCTTCCTGTGAGTGAGGAGTTCTGCAAAACGCTGCTCGTGAGCCATCACTTCTCACATAAAAGGGATCACAGAAGAGAGCTGTGAGTGCCTCAGAAAACAAAGATGCAATTAAGGCAGCGTTTGTAGTTTTCAGTTAGGGTTATCATTCAATGCAGGATGAACCATCATTTTTTTCCTGCTAATTATTTTCATTAGCTGTTTTAACTCTTCCTGAGAGTTCTTAATAATGGCTTCAGAGCAGAATGTGTAAAACTGAAAATTATTTATGGCAATGATTAGAACTACAGAATACTAATATGGGTAGTCAGGAATAATTCACCATAGCAGGAAAAGCACTATTTAATTGTTTAATATAGAAGTTTAATTGTGCTTGCATACAATTATCATGTAAATATCACTGTGATCACTTTAAGAGGTTATTTCTAAGTGTGCCAAAATTCTGAAGCAATCTGAAAAGAATTAATTTTTTTCTTACCTCCCTTCACAAGTCTCTCAAGTGTACTATATGTTTTAACTTAAACCAAAATATAGCCAAAGGCAGACAGGAGTTCCAACAGTGACCAGTGTAATACTCACTGCTTTTAATTACTGTAACAATAAATCACACAGGAATGTCCTCCAGGTACTAAATGATTTTCTAAAAACATTTGAGAATATTTTTGAAATTCAATTAATTGAAGGCACCAGATAAAAGGTACACATTCTTAATGGCTATAAAATAACCCTAAGGGATGTAACTGAGCTCCAAGCTTAACTTCAAAGTGTGACAGAAATACTTACTGTATTACTTTAAAAGTATTCAGATCAATGAATCAGTTAAAATTACTTATACATTTACCAACCTTTTCATTTTCTTTCTGAATATGATAGAAAGAATTGCTCTCATTTCCCAGGACACAAAAAGCAGTCGAGACCTGTAAAAGAAATTGTAATTAAAGCCAGCCTTCAGTCAAAATTGGTATTATGAATTTTTGGTTGACACAAGATAAAGGGGCCAGGGAAACATAAAAGTGGCTTGATAAAGCATACATTTAGACATTTTATACTAAAAATTGACTGGTTTGTGGAGATATTTCAGGGTCTAGGATTAAATCTGTCCTTGTTAGGCCAGTAAGCAGTTTTCTATTGAATTCAATAGAAGCAATTGCAATACCCTGCAATCTGTATTGTGCACAGCCGTGTGCATCTGACTGACTCTACGATTATGGGCCAAATCAGTTCTTTTTTTTCCTTTTTGTTCCTGCTCCTAGGATTAATCACAGTACCCTGAATGCCCCCATGGCTTTGCAAGGTGCTGAAGATCGCAAGCAGTCACGGCATGCCTTCAGCTTTTGCAAGCAACACTCTGACGTAGGATGCCAGCTAATGCTCAGTAGGATCTAACTCCATGAGTAAACACCTTGACATTTGGCCTTGAGTTCATGAGCATCTGAGATTGTTGTAAAAGAAAAGTGTTTAAACAATCACCATTTTCTGATTTGCAAGGTGATTTTATAATGCAGTGTGACTCAACAGCAGGAAAGCGTTAAGAAATATGTAGAGGCTGAACTGTTGCTACCAGCCAATTTTTTTTGGCAGAGGTGCTCTGTTCTGCAGGAAGGCTCTTCCTTCTGCTCTGTATCTCTACCGTGCACCCAGCTTTGAAAACAGACCATACACCCATGGTCATCTTACCATGGAGATAAGGGTTACCTTCTGACCTTTGCAAAACGATTGCTTGTTATAAACATGTGTCACAGCTAAACTGCACATGTATTATTCATCAGAGCAGAAAGTTTAGAAATAAGTTTAGAAACGAGAACTATGCACACATGTACATTCATGCACATCCATGTCTGTACATTTGTATTTACACAGAAGGAAATCATGTAGAGAAGTGTCTGTACTGCTTGGAAGAGCTATATTCTATGAGAAGACTGAAAACACTTTACTAAAGACTAATTGCAATGATTTCCAATGGATATTTATTTTCAATACTCACTGATAAGTTTGTTAGTAGCATGTTAACATTTTCTCTGTGTATAAAACACATTAAATTGAGACAATAAAAAAGTGACAACAGGGATAAATGTATCTTTATCCCTTTTGTTTCTTTTCCTTGAGCATTTGAAATCATAAACATCATTAGAATTTTTGAGCATTTAATATTGATGTTAAGTCATGACCGCGTAACTATTTTCTATAGCTGCATGCAGTAATTCCCCACCCTGCAGGTGTGAGGTGGGTGGGAGGATCACTGAGCCTTGGAAACATCCACAGCAGATTGCAGTTGAAAAAATACAGTCACTGACAATACACGTGTAGTAGAACAGTCATTTTAAAACTGTGATAAATATAATACAACACTAAAACCACCAACAAGACCCAGGTCTCATCAAAGAACTTTGCTTCATCAGAGTAATAAAATAGTAAAAACCATTTTAATCAGGGACTACAGGCTGTAGAAGACAGTTCGATATGTTTATTTTGACAGCAAATACCCATAACACTCGTAACAGACACATCCACCAGATTACCACATGTGACTTGCGACCAGGTTAAAGTCAATTCTACATAAAAAAGCCTGAAGTTTCTGTTAAATGTTTGCTCCACCAATTACTCAAACCAATGTTAAGAAGTATTTTGGGACTTTTCTTCTCTGGAGACTTGGCAGTCAAAAGATTTTTTTTCCCGAATAGTTAGGTTGTTTATCTCAAAAGGGCTGTTTGTCTAATTAGGAACACATGGATTTATGAGTATAAATAACTCCACAAAATCTGAGAAACTGTAGAGAATCCGTACATTTCTCCCTCCTGTTTTGAAACTCAATAAATGATTGAACACTTTCTTTCTTTTTTTTTTTTTCTTTTTTTCTTTTTTTTTTTTTTTTTTTTTTATTATTTTTAACCTGTGGTAAAATGGTTGCAGTCATACAGAAGAGATGAAGTAAAAACAAGTCAGAATATTGGCTTCAGATTAAAGCTGGGTAAACCTGGGATAACTTGTCTAGAAAGTAGAATAATTTCATTGCAAATACCTGTCAAACAAGGTTGAATATGGTTCACAAAGGAAAAGGTATGCTCATATGTCTAATTTTTAGGTTTGCAAGAGGCTCTGCAGACAAGATATGAAATGAAATCATATTTGTTGCAAGGTGCTGTTTCCTCTGCATTGTATTTTTCAGTTAACACTCCTCCTCCTCTCCCAGGCATCTGATTTCATAGCAGGTAGAGCTCAGTCCTAAAGACATAGGCAGTGGGAGACAAGAGATTTCTGCAAAATCCTCATTAATGTTGAAGGAAGAGCCTGTCTTGGGAGGATGACTCAGATTCCTCCCTTTGCCCATATCCAGAGGCAACAGTGGGAGGTGAAAGACAAAGAGCAGACACCTGCAGCCACGTGTGTCCCCAGGGAGTGTGTCCTGTTTGACATTTAGGCCTTGCACAAGGCTCCCCAATGTGCTCTGTTCCTATGCCAGCCTAGCTTTTCATCTGGAAGCAGAGCAGAGTAGGACAAGCACTGCACTTGGTTCCTTATCCAGGAAGCAGGAAAATGTCAGTACCAACTCAAACCCAGCATGCTTGGGGGTGTAGCAGAGCCAGGAGTGGCATTGGTGGAGCTGGGCACTGCAGCTGCTGCGCATCACCTGGAGGAAAATTCACCTGAGGCGACACAACTGAGACAAAGGTCAATGACAGCCCATGGCACCGCAGGCATTTCCAGATGCTCCAAGCTGCAGAAGTATGAAAGAATGACAATTATCAGTCTGACCAGATGCCCGTGCCAGCTGCTGGCTGATCGTGGTCAGCCAAATGAAGAAGTCAGAGTGGACAAGCGTGAGAAAATCTGTCCCTCCCATTACCAAAGTGCAGACACCCTGTGGCTTGCCCAGGCTCCAAAGTGGGAGCTCAGCTGATCTCTTGCCTTTTCGCCCACAGTCACTTCTAGCTTTAATCGACTATTAAAACCTTGAGTAGCCAAATCTATTTTGTTGTTCCCTGTGTGACTATTGTTGGCTTGCAGTTTTTTATCAGGTTTTCTTACCCAAAGTCAGATAGCCACCTTACATCAATGTGGACAGCAAAATCTCCTAACTCTGTCAGCTCCTGGGCCTCAGACGGTGCTTTCTAGGCTTGCCAAGCATTTGTAGGAGGACCTGCTGGAAACATCAATCCCAGCTGACTGCTCTTTCATGAAACTTAAAAGATTTGAAACAGAAAGCACAGCGGAGTAAAACCCGAGAAGATCTGAAAATGAAAAAGCTATAGATAGATGCTGAAGACTCCATAAATGTAAGTAGCACTAACAAACCACATTTTTTCCTATTTAAAATATTTTATGTGAATTACACTGCTGGGAAAAGGCAGATGGAGGAACCACAGTCAATCCTGAAATCAGAGAGGGTCACAGGAAGATTGGGAGGGCAGCTTGTTCTTCTGGTCTATGTTATGACTGTCCTTGAGATGTGTGTCCCTAAACAGCTTTTTTTTTGAGCAAATTGAGAGTCATGTGACTGTAGTAGTTGACCTCTTTGTAGAAGAAGTAACAAAACCAAAGA